TCTAACCACCTGTTTACAATAATCTATCTAAACCTTATCAACAGGTTTGGTTTCTTTGCTCATGAGGGTTGGAGCCTTTAGCTTCTCTCTCTATGTCCCTGTAGGCAGGGGCTATCACACTTTTGTAAGCTGGGTGACACCCAGAGCACCAAGGGTGGCTAATGTCAAGAATCCCCCAATTCTTGCCACATTCTTGACTCTTGCCAGATTCTTGACCCGTAGACCACATTCCTGACTCTCGAGACATTTCCCTATTCCTGATTCTTTGATTTCCTATACAATTTTTAATTCTAGAACCACATTTCTGATGATGATGTGGTGCCTCCTCGACCTCAGCTATATTTAGGCCATCCTCGATCCAAGAGTGGTGGAGCTTCATCAACCTATAGTATATATAGGTTAGCCTTGTTCCATTTCTCCATAATCTGAATCAACACTAGTTTAAAGCTTCTTTTTCGTCTCCACTGGCTTTTCTTTTTGTCTTCTGCATTTTCCAGTCCTGATCTTGTTAGGGGTCTTAACAGTTTGATTCAGATTGTGCTTTTTGCTTTTGTTTTAGCTCATTTTGATTGTTTGATTGCCTTTGCCTTTTTCCCCCTTTTTTTTCTTCTTTGCTGATGGCGTCTCCAAGCCATCCTAATTCCTTCCCCAAAGTCCTTGCAAAAATCCAGTCTGAGAATACCAAGTTGAAGGCAGCCTTTCTTCACATGCAATAGGAGCTTGCTTCACTTTTGGCTCAAGGATTAAGCAGAGGTCCTAAACCGAAGATAAGTTTCCTAGCGAAGTTCTCAGGCAAGCATTCGGAGCTTCGTAGATTCCTGAACCAAATGGAGCTAATCTTTGCACTTCAACATCAACAATACCCCACTCCCGAGTCTCAAATTAGCATGATTTGGACATTGCTTGAAGGTGCAGCTTTGTCATGGTTTTCTCCTCTCTTGGAGAAGAGCATGAAAGGGGTTGTGGTTCCAGAGTTGATGGATCTTCAGTTGTTCAAAGAGAAGCTTGAAGCATGTTTTGGCAAGATAGATCGGGTTCAGGTTGCCACCACAAAGATGAGACATCTCTCTCAAGGGTCTCGTCTTGCCTCAATCTATGCTGTGGAGTTCTAGCTCTTTGCTTTGGACACTTAATGGGAGGAGCGGGCCTTAATTGATGAATTTCGTTTTGGCCTCAACAACGGTGTCAAAGATTTGTTGCTCACCATATAGGATCCCACGGACCTATCGGATGCCATCAACAAAGCTGTTCGATGCGACAATCGTCTCTTTGAATGTTGTTAGGAAAGTCGCCGCACTGCCATTTTCCCATCCCAGACTCAGGAATCCCAGCTTGAGTCTTTGGGGCATACTCTTGAACCTACTACTCCGGTCCTAATGGATATCTCTGGTACTCCCTAACTCATTAGAAGGAAGCTGAGTTCTGCTGAGAAGCAATGTTGAGTATCTCAGAATCTTTGCCTCTACTGTGCTGATCCTAATCACAAAGCAACTATATGTCCCAAGAAGCCTCCCCGACTGCTTGAGTTCACTCTACCTCAAGGTCCACCTCTATTGCAGTTGGGAAACGACCTTGTCCAAATAGAATAAAAGCTATCTATTTGGACTCCTCAAATAAAAATCACTTTTTTTCTTTATCAAGCTCCTCACCACCTTCATCAAAGCCATCAACAATTCCCACAACTTTCACATCCCATATCTCCTTTCTTTCACTAGACAATCAGGACTCAAGGCTCTGGTGCTACTGGACTTGGGCACAACTTCCTACTTCATGGATACGGACTTTGTTACCCAACATCATGTTCCTCTTTCTCTTACCATACGGGATCTGAGGGTTGAAGGCATCGGCAGGCATTTTGTGTCTCCATCTTCTAGACTTAGGGAAACATTGCATGTTCGAGTACACATCAGGTCTACCATCACCAATATCGCTTTCAACATCATCAACAACAAGTCCTCCTCTGTGGTGCTCGGTGTTCCTTGGTTTTAACTACACTAGCTTCAGATTTGTTGGAAGAAATTACAGCTCGTCTCTCCCACGTCACCATCTCCCATGTCTTCCCTTGCTCTTCATTAAGTCTGAATCAGGAAAAATTCCCTAAACTCAAATTGGGGTTTTATTCTTGACTCTATGAAGTTTTCACCCTCTTTGCTCTCTATCCCTCGATGTTCTTTTTCCTCTCTTCCATCTTACACTAGATAGTATCCTTGTCCTATCATTCTATTTAGTCATACGCCTTCTCGTATCTCCACAATCACTATGAAAGAACTACTTCATGAAGAATCTATTTTCCTTTTTGCTTTGCATATTTCTCCTCTCAGTCTTCCTGAGAAGTATCATGATTTTAGGGATGTGTTTGACAAGAAAAAAGCTAGTATATTACCTACCTTACGACTGTCCCATTGATTTACAGGAAGGAGCGTCACCTCTATAGGGGCCTATCTACAGGTTATCCCCATCCGAGCTCAAGGCCCTCAAAGAGTACATGGACAAGAACCTTGCATCGGAGTACATTCAGCATTTGCAATCCCTGGCTAGAGCGCCTGTCTTCTTTGTCAAAAAGAAGGATAGGAGTTTGCGGCTAGTCATCGACTACTGAGGTTTGAACAAGGTGACTGTTTGGAACTGTTATTTGTTGCCTCTGATCTCGAACTTGTTGGAACACCTCAGCGGTGCCCGCTTCTTCACCAAGATCGACCTCCGTGGAGCATACAACTTGATCTAGATCTGGCCTAGTGATGAATGTAAGCCTACATTCTGAACCCGCTATAGCCACTTTAAGTACACTATCATGCCATTTGGTTTGACAAATGCTCCAGCAGTTTTCCAACACATGGCAAACGACATCTTTCAGGAGTTTTTTGATCAGATGGTGATCGTCTACCTTAACGACATTCTCATCTACTCAAAAACTCAGGAGGAGCATGATAAGCATGTGCCGAAGGTGTTGGCAAAGCTGCAGAAATACAGCCTATACGCGAAGCTTGAGAAACCTTGGCAAAGCTAAGACTTCGATTAGGAGTCTATGGAGTTCCTTGGGTACATTGTCACTTTTGAGGGTATCACGATGGATCTTGCCAAAGTCAAGACTATTCTTGAATGGGAGCCTCCACAATCAATATCATACATTTAGGTTTTCCTTGGCTTCGATAACTTCTACTGCAAATTCATTGATCACTACTCCGACATTGTTTTTCCTTTCACGCATCTCACTCGCAAGGATGTTCCCTTCTCTTGGTCTACTACTGCCCAGCAGGCCTTCGACACACTCAAGGCAGCCTTTAGTTCTGCTCCCGTCTTGATCCACGCTAATCCCTCACAACCTTTCTTCATCGAGGCACTTCCAACTTTGCCATCAGTGTTGTGCTATCTCAACTCAAAGCGGATTAAGAATTTCATCGGGTTACTTTGCATTCTCAGAAATTCTAGCATATGGAGATCAATTACGAAATCCACAACAAGGAGCTCCTTGCCATCGTGAATTCCTTTGGAGAGTGGTGTTGTTTCTGGGAGGGGGCAAGCTATCAAATAATGGTCTGGACGGAACACAAAAATCTCAAGTACTTTGCCACTTTTTGAGTTTTGAGCCATTGTCAGGCAAGGTGGGCACAATTCCTGAGTTGGTTTGACTTTGTTATCAAGTACAGACTTGGAAAGTTTTAGGGCTTTTTTGATGCCCTTTCAAGGCATTCCTATCTCAGTCTCAGGCTTGGTAATCCTACCTTCGATCAACAGGATCAGGTTATCCTGAAAGGGGGGTGAGTGTAATGTATATGATCATGGGATGAGATTTGAATATATTATCACCGTGGAACCTTAGGGGATAAATGGAGATAAAATAACCATTAAGAGCTCTTTCATTAAACAATTACCCCTTTTCCAGTTCGCTTAAGGGGACAGAGATAAGGTGCATTACATCTAAGAGTAAATGGTCCAGATTAAATTTAATTCAATGAATATCAAAATCCCTTTACACTAATAATAATATACAATATCATAGCCATAAATTTGAACTTCATAACAGAAAATAACTAGGGTTGATAGGTCCAACCTATTAAATTTTATGTTAAACTTTATAAATTTGCAGCCCAATTTCCTATAACACTCCATATAATCCTTTTTAACTAAGAATGAACATTTTAGATAAACCACACACTTTAAGATTAGGAGAATGAGTTAACATTTTGATCATCCATTTTGCACTTCATAAATGGATGACAATAAGAGTTGTAATGCCATTTTTATCTCACTCAAGTGTTTAGCAAAGTCTAATTAAAAAACAAATGGATGAATGTTTATCAAATATTTATACCATGACCTATCATCAACAATTTATAATAAACGCAAATGTAAACTCAATTCCTAGAGAGATGCCAAATAACCATCTTATTTTGATTGAAAGTTTATATACTTTACAATCATCCTCTTGAAAGTCTTAACAAATTGTTCCACCAAATCATTCATTTATAAATGATATTGATGATAAATACAACACTCTCTGTGGCATATCCTTAACCTAGACATTAATACATGAAATACCCAAACAAGAATATTGAACACCACTAAATTAAGTAAGAAATATCCAATAGTAGTTATAAATGCACTACCAAAAGAGCACCAACTTCTATCAATAGTTAACATACTTGCCAGAGCTGTTGGAAGGTTTGATCGATTCCTTTTGTGCCTTGGCAAGGCTCACGCTTCTGAGAATTTGTCTTCCAGCATCAGGAATGCTCACTCGTCCATCATCTTCAGCTATAAGTATGCCTTCAGTGGATTCTCGGCATACCTGACTGAACAAGAGGCCGAAACAATCTCCAGTCATTGCCTAACAGACCACTGTGTAGGAATGCCTGAGGTCCTCAACATCTATCCCAGCAAAACGCTCCATTCACTGACAACACACTCGTGGGATTTCCTCGGCTTGGCCATGCCTGCCAAAAGCAGTCACACTGGATCTCCAAGTACTGACATGATCGTCGGGCTTCTGGACACAGGTAACTCGCTCGGAAAAGCTCAATGTGCTTACTTGCTCTGTGCGTAAGAATCTGGCCAGAGTCGGAGAGTTTCAAGGACACCGACATGGGACCTGTGCCAGCTCGTTGGAGAGGAACTTGCGTCAATCCACCAGGCACCAAAGCCAATGAGACTGTCAACTGCAACAAGTACGTGTTAGAGTTTGCCACAAGATTAGACTCAAGTGATGAATGAACTCCTTACCAGGAAGCTCGTTGGAGCCAGATACTATAACGGAGCGAAAGTCTCACAAGAACTCGAGAGACTCGGTTGGACATGGAACTCATACGTCGTCAACAGCTGCTGGAAGCCTGGTTCCACACGCGAGTAAGAGAGGACTCGCTCCAAATGCTCGGATCGCCATGTACAAAGTCTGCTGGACGGATAGCTGCGAGGAGGTTGACATCGCTGCGGGTTTCGACGATGCCATCAACGACGGCGTGGATGTCCTGTCCATCTCACTCGGAGGCTATCCCGCAGTTTACAGCGTAAACGTCATTGCGATTGGTGCCTATCACGCCGTCGAAAGAGGGATCATGGTCTCTTGCGCTGGTGGAAGCTCTGGACCATTTACTGGATCGGTGTCCAACGGTGCTCCCTGGATCTTCACGGTCGGTGCCAGTACAATCGACAGGGAGATCAACGAGGATGCTAAAATAGCAGCCAAGTAAGTATAACAGATGATCAAAAGGTGATGGAATACTCTTTGCCTCGTGGTTTCTGTGCAGTCGTAAATCACGAATTCTCAGAGGAACAACGATTCCTTACAAGCCAGCACCTGTCGTAGCGGAGTTTTCGTCAAGAGGTCCACACACAATCAGTCCGGATATCATCAAGGTACTCGAAAGACATACCATGAAGCTTGTGACTTATCTCGCGTTGCAGCCGGACGTTACCGCTCCAGGAGTCGAGATCTTAGCAGCTTGGCCAAGCAATATCCCCGACACTGACAATGGAAAGGAAGTGTTCGTGGAGTACACTTTTCTCTCTGGAACTTCCATGGCGTGCCCTCACGTCAGTGGCACCATCGCTTACTTGAAATCCATTCACCCAACATGGAGTCCTGCGGCGATCAAATCAGCAGTCATGACCACAGGTAAGTCGAGAGAAAACAAAATAAAACTGGAGACTCAAGAGTGTTCTTGGCAGCTATCACCAAAGACAACACCAACAAAACAATCGTCGATCCAAGCACTAACAAGGCAGCGACTGTTTTCGACGTTGGAAACGGTGAGATCCAACCAGCAAAAGCAGTCGATCCAGGACTAGTCTACGACACTGATCCTCTCGACTATATCACCTATCTCTGTAACTCGGGCTATACCTCCAAGCAAATCCAAAACATCACAGGCGACAGTAGCAGCAAATGCCCCAAGAACGACACCTCTTTCAGCCTCAACTATCCCTCCATCGCAGTCCTCTTGGATGGATCCAGCAAGACGGTGGAGAGGACAGTGACCAATGTGGGAAATCCCAGCGCGACCTACACCGCTTCCGTGGGAAGCGCCAAGGGAATCTCGATCTCGGTCACTCCCACCAAGCTGAGCTTCACAAGCGCCGGACAGAAGCTGACCTACAGCGTCACCGTCTCCGCCAAGGGATCCATAACGGCGGATCCCCAAGCGCCGAAATGGAGCTTCTCGGATCTCACCTGGGAAGATGGAGTGCACGTTGTGCGCAGCCCGATCGCCGTGAGAATGTAGCGTTAGAATCGAAAGAGAAATATTTCCACTTTTAACTTCAAATTACCCTTAAACTGCATGTAAATCTAAACTACATCTAGAAACAGATTATTAAGGAGTTCCTCTAAGGGAGCAATTGAAGTAGGTAGAGTTTTTATTTCTTTTGAGAATTGTTGACTATTGTATACAAATTATCACAGTTTTCTCTCAATTTGCAAAGTGCATAGCAAAGAAATTACAATTAATTGCATGGGTTTGTATTTGAAGCCCACAATACCTTCAATGTAGGATGTTTTAAAAATGTTTTCTGATGGGATTCATATAATACCAAATTACAATCACTTTGAAGAGAAAGAAATGTTTTTACTATATCACAATTTCTCTTCTTATTACAATATATATTAGGAGACCAAACCATAATTGAATTATCAGAATACAGTACAATATTCCCATCCATTTCTATCTTAAATTCACAGTTTTTAAAATTTGAAGATCCTTTATACCATTTTATAACATTTCTTACATATAAAGCAAGAATGCAATTTAAATGTAAATATAAATAACCTTTATTATTTGGTGATAGTAAAAATTCAGTAGCTTTTAAGGTATTGTAAGGCATGTTACTAATTAAAGTAGTGAGATAAATTCTACAATCATGTAAATTATTGGATATAGTATTTTGAATTTGTGGTAATCCATGTGCAGAATTTTTTTCTATAAACTCAATAGCATAAAAACCAAACACTATTCTAACAAATCTTGCACGTAAAGTAAGAATATTATTACAATATAAATTTAATAGAGTAGTCAATCTATGTCTTACATTATCACCATCATCATGTTCATATTCAACAAGATTTGCTCCACAAGTTGTATCAATAAATTTTCCATTTAAACTATAAATCCATATTTGATTTGTAATGCTTAAAGGACCATATATATCATCTTGTATTGTATAATCATATTGCATGCTTTGACCTTTTGGTAACTCTCCAGATTCAGTGTTATTAATCATTAGTTCAATAGTAAGAATAATTAAATTAACACTATCAACTGTCATACTATTTTTCCACTATAATTTATTGTTGAAATAGTAAATTTTATTAATAATATCAAAAAGATAAAAAAATATTTTAAACATAAGTGTTAAATGATTTAAAATAAGATTTAAGCTTGGTGAATCAATGTCATTTAAGATTATGAAAGGCAAAACTAGATGACACTACACAAATGACCTGAAATTACTACCTTACACACATTTAAAGGTTTTAAGTTGTAACTTAGCCATTAAGATTATTTTTCTCAAAATCTAACAATTGGCTAAATCATAAAATATAATTAAAGAAGTTTATATTATATAAAACTTAACTTGTAACTATAGTGTCAATATGTATTTTAAAGAATTAAAATACTATAATAAGATGATGGACAGAATTATCTCAGCTTTATTGATGATCTGGCAGTTAATACAATATCACCTCTATCAAGGTAGTATTTTAGGGGACCCACTCTTCTCAATCTTAATGAAAAATAAAAGAAGTAAGATTTATTTATTAATTTCTTATTTGTAAAACTTATATTACAATATTCACAGCATATATTTTAATTTTAATTAATTTGAATAAGAAATATTCATAGAACGCTTTCTAAAATTCTTTTTATTAAAAATTATTTAAAAATATAAAATACTCTGAAACATATATCAAACTTAAGTTCCTTGAGTGGTAAAATCAAAACCCACTCAAAAAAACATTCAAATAGTCTAAAAAATTAGCTGAAATATTTTTTCATTTGATTATTAGTTATTGATAATAAATAGACCATGTTTATTATTATAATTAATATTAAAATTGATAGGATGTATCCTAGACTTAAAAACTATGTTTAATCTAGTTTCCCTTAATACCTTTTGTTTTCCAACCAAAAACTGAACAAATAATCATTTATCAACTAGTATCATTAGTAGTGAGATTTCTTTGGGATCGTTATTTAAATCTGGAGAGAATTGAGAGTGAGTTAAAAATTGAGTCGATTCTATATAAACATTTTATTACACTTATAATAGTATATGGCATTTAAACTATACACTTACCATAATACCATCCCCTTCTCTCAAAAGGATGGAAAATAATTAATGTTCTTTAGTTGATAGTTCGGAAAAATGAGGTATTGGTGGATATATAAGTAGTGTAATTTATTTCTAATCTCTTTATATGAAGCATTTTACATGTATAATTTCTAGAGGCTCAAAGTTTTATGCTAAACCTTATAAATTTATGTATGCTATATAGTCTTTTTCAACTAATAAACTATATACTATAAGACAGGTAGAATGAATTAACACTCGATCATCCACTCTACACACCATAAATAGATGACAATTAAAGTCTCAGTACCATTTTTATCCCACTGCTCAAATGTTTATCAAGTTCCACTAAAATAAATGAAGGAATGCTTATTAACTATGAATCCCATGACCCAATGTTAATAGTTTAAAACAATCACAAAGATAAACTCAATTTTATTAGCAAACTGGGATCATGAGTACATAAGTCTTTATATAGTGAAGCAACGGTAAAACTTTGCACTTCATGATATAACTATACCAAAGAGATGTAAATAACTATCACATTCTAATTGAAAAGTCATATACTTTGCCATCATCGCCTTGAAGGTTTTAACAAATCATTTTATCAAATTATTTATTTGTGGATAATAAACATTCACAAAAGTGTGGCATATCCTTAGTTGAGATGTTAATATATGAAATGTCTCAACCATAAACATAGGACTATTAAGACACTTATTAGGCACACTCAAACTCTCTTATATTAGCATCCTTCAATCAATATATTAAGCATTCATGCTCAAGATGAAAGGATAAATGTAATTAGTGTATTCCAAAAGTGGAGGAGTTAGCAAAACATCCTTGAGTTCTATAAATACTTATTTACAGTTTTACATTAGATGAAAGATGATATCAATGACTTTAATAATGCTTGCAATGGTGCAGTACAATAAAAAATAAAATTTATAAGATATTGCACTTTGCCAATAAAACATTATGCATTACTCATACACTTTATAAACTACTTTAGCTTCAAACCAACTTTATATAACCAATATGTACATCATAAATATATTCTTCCCACATCACCTTCACTATTTAGTTTATACAAGTACTTAATGATGGTATTTGGCTTGAGTAATGTTTCAGTGAATTTCTAATATATGGATAAAGTTCTTTATGATATGCCAAAGGTGATCCATTAATCATGTTTTGATCCATTCATATAGAAAATAATTTTAAAAATATTGCCAATACCTAAAGGTGAGATCCAATATGGTGAGCTAATGGCTTTGCTTTAAATGAGGAAGTGGGTACATACTCAAAACTATCATATCATTCAATGGGTGATTGTTGATGTTGAACCAAATCCTTTTATCATACTTCATAAATAAGGTTTATATAACTAACAATTTTAAACTTTCCAAATAACACCCTTCTGTAACATTTCCTTAATATTGGCTCACAACTCTTTTGGTGATTAATACTAAACATGAATCTTGTTTAAATGAACATCTCTAATTAGAAGAAGATTGACATATTGCAATATTTTCCCTAGAAGACATATGAAAGTTGAAGAAATCAATATACTTTTTCTTGAGCTAATCAACTATAGTATTATAAAGATTATTGAGGGAACATGAGAAGGGCATGAAAAAATGGTAAGAAGTAATAATGAAATCCAAACATCATCCTAAGAATGATAAGTGGCAGTTATTATGAATTGATTAAACCAATAATATATATCATCCTTAGAATTTCCATAGAAGAAATCCAACTAGACAGGTAAAAGGAGTAAGAGGAAAAGAAGTTGCACCATATGTCATGAATATTGCTATCAATTGTGTTTAATTGTCTAGTTACAACTACATAACATTGAGCAATTATAACAATTATTACTCCATAAATAAAGGGTTTACTTACTGTGAGAGGAGAAAAAATTAAAAAAATAAAAGAAAATCAAAGATTTAGATGATGCTAAAGCTAGATCTAAAGAAAAATCACAAATCTGAACACTCTTAGAAGCCTTACCTCCACTAATGTAAAAGCTAGAAATGTATATATTTATAATAACCTAAAAATGGTCCATATTGAATCTGATGAAAATTACACATTAATAATAGTATAACCAAAAAACTCCTCACCAAAAGAAACTTCTATTTAATTTTAGAAAAGAAATCACAATTAATTATATAGGTTTATATAGGTTTTAAAAATGATTTTTTGATGGGATTCATATAATACTGAATTAAATCACTTTGAAGAGAAGGAAATAGTTTTTAATAAATTACAATTTTTTCTTCTTACAATTACAATATGATCTTGATATAATTGAATTATCAGAATATAATACAATATCTACACAATTTTTAAATTATAAATATTAATTAAGTATGTTCTTTAAATATTACATAAATCATGTGGCAATATGTATTTTAAAAAACTAAAATTCTATATATATAAAAAATAAATTCTTGCATTGACTAATATTCTTCTAAACAACAATTAATATAAATAATTTGCTATGTGGTGCATGTAGCAACGCTTGATTTTCTTAATAGTAAATTCTTACTTATTAATCCAATTGATCGAATAAAACTTTATAATTATAAACATGTTCATAATTTATAAACACAAGATTAATCTTATTGCATATCAACCATTAGATGGTAGAATAAAAAGAATTAGAAAGTGTTTAAAATTTTTTATAAATTATAAACATGCTTATAAATTATAAATACAAAATTAATTTAAATGAATAACAACCATTAGATGGTAAAATATCCTAGAATATTCAAGCATATTTTAATATATCCATCCGGGTTTGCTTAAGCAAACCAATAAGATGAACTCCATAACTTCTCAAGCATAGCAAGCAAAGCTACTTCTTCTTTCATTGCCCTTTAAGTCTCAAGGAGTTCACAGGTCCTCTAGAAAGAAGGGGAAAAAAAAACATTAGTGACAGGGATATTGCTTGGCCAAGTTGC